ACACATGGCGCCACCGATCATCTGGAAGTCCAAAGTCCCCACTCGCCGGTTGCTAGACATCGATGAGGGAGACGCAGTAGCCAGCTCGGTTTCACGAGCCGTGGAGTGACAAAGCCCTTGGTTTTTCAGAATAGACTTCATTTTAAAGGGCAGTTTTCGGTGTGTATAAAAATTGAATGGACAGTAATTTACACCCCTCCCGTTATTAACATCTTTCCTTACGATTAATGGGCCAATATCGATACACGCACGTTAGCCTCGCCCAGCGTCGCCTCGGGTCCCCTCGGGTCCCCCATGCTCCTTTTCTGATGCAGGATCCACACCCCTCTCAGTGTCAGGTGACAGTTTCTTGGACTTCCCTGGTTTTCCATGACCTTGACATTCTGCTGAGTCTGGTCGGGATTTCTCAGGATCCCCTACTGGAATCCACGGGATTGGACTGGGTCGTGGGTTGTGGGGAGAGGGATCGCAGCGTCACCTGAGTGCTACTTTTGTCACAGTGTATGACGGGGGGGAATGCTGTCAACAGTAACTGTGACCTTCGATGCTGACCTTGAGCTCCTGGCCCCGGCAGTGCCTGTCAGCATCTCTGCTGTGAAGATCCCATTTTCATCCGGTGCTCTCTGGAAGGAGGTCGCCGTGTGCAGTGTGTGCACCCAGGGACGAGGGGCCGCTTCCCCTCCTGAGGGCAGGGTGGACAGAAATTATTTGGAGTTCTGCAAGAGGGATCTGTGCACCCTCACTATTTGATTATGTACTCAGTTCCTTCCATCAGCATGGGCTCCCAGACGTTTATTTTATTGTACTTTAGATCCAGTCCAATACCACTTTTTAATTTAATAATTTCACTTAACATTTCTGGCACCACAAGTAGCTCAAGGTCATCCCGTGTACTTCCTGCCAGCGCCTAGACAGCCCTTCTCCCACTTTTCTTGGAGAATGGTGTTAAAAGCCAAGATCCGGGCGTGCAGTGTGCTCACTGCTACGGGGCACTTCTCTCCTTTGGGGCTTTTTGTGCGCCCCGGCCCGCGCAGACACGCTGTATCTGGGCTTCCACTGGCCATCAAGATCTGCAGTTACTGAGGCCTCCAGAATCACTTATGTCTTACGTGCCTTGAAACGGTGATGGGTCACTTTTTTTTTTTTTGAGGCAGGATCTCGGCCTCAAATTTGAGATCCTCCTGCGTCAGCCTCCCAAGTACTGAGCTGGCAGATGTGCACCACCATACCTGGTCTGTCGTGTGACTCACGGTGTTCATTACTACTTACCTCGGCACATAGTGTCCCCGTTAGCTGTGTGACAGCCCTACACACTGGTCCTCTCTCCTCAGTCCCTATTACGGATGAGAATTAAGGTACCGTCCAGGGTCTTCACCCGGGAAGTGATGAAGTCCGACTCAAGCTCGGTCATGTCCAACACTGAAATATCTGCCCACCTCACACTGAGCAGCTTCACACACAGCTCAGGCACACCTGTGGCCTTTCTTACACGGTCACTCTGGCCATTTAGCCAAATGCGGTGACTGCTGCAGCCAGTGCATCTGTGTCCCGGTCCTCAGGCCTCCTGCTGAGGCTGCGTCCTCTCTGAGGACCAGAGGATGGAGGAGGTCAGGGCTGTGCTGTGACTGTACTTGGCGCTCTCAGTACCTCCCTCCAGTTGGCTCATGGGACATTTGCAGGGACACGGTGACTGAGGGAAGTGCCAGGCAGTTCAGATCCCAGAGGGCCGGTGGGAGATGGAAAGGAAGCTGGGTGAGGGAGGGGCGGGCAGGGCAGCCTGGTGCCCTGACCCCCAGGTGCTCATGGTGGGAATCTGGTCTGACTGGCTGGGCCTCTTCTTCTCGGACTGGGCCTGCCTTGGCCCCCGGCATGGCCTGAGGGTGGCTCAACCCATGGCCTTCCTGCTTCTGTTCCCAGGAGGCTCCTCCTCTCAGGGCCCTGCTCGGCCTCTTCCACCTCCTTCAGGACGCCTTCTCTGCCCGCCCCGCCCTCATCCACGTCCTTTTTCCCAGATCCAAACCAGCAGCCCTCAGATGCTTTCTTTGACCTGTGGAACTTTCTAGAAGCTCTGCTTGGTTGCCAGCTGTGAAGTGCAAGAGGCTGCATGAGGAAATGCAGACCCTCAGCCCCTCTTACAGACGTCAAGAGCCCGGGGGACCCACGTCCACATTCCCTCTGGCCAGCCCAGTCCTGTGCCTGACACACAGTAGGTGCCCCGCAGTGGACGGGGCACCCTCAGCTGGGAGCAGTGGCTTTGGTGGCAGACAGGGTGACTTGGCGATCTGGGGGGAAAGGGTTTCTTGCTCAGCCTCAGTTTCCTCATCTGGAGGATGAGCCTCTGTGTGGCTATTTGAGGACCAAACGGCTCACACACAGAGTGGCTTAGGCTGGGCCAGGCCTCAGGCAGACGCTTGGTGGCATTTCCTTCCCTGTCTTGTTTCCTCCTTTGTTTTATGGCTTGGGTACCTGTCATTTTCTAGTGGCCCCATACCTCCTCACTGTGTCCAGTCATCCACCTGTTCATCCACAGATGCCTACTGTGTGCCCCACACACATGTTGTCCCCCAAGAGCCCTGTCCCTGGGCCAGCTGAGGGCAGTGACGTCTCATTCACGCACACATTCCTTCACTCATTCACTCCTCTGCATTTGTGTTTGCTGAACGCCTTCTGGATGCCAGGAACATCTAGAACCTTCTGGATCCAACAGCGAGCCAAATAAACAAAAATCCTTGCTACCATGGGGTGATGGGCCATAGGTGACAGAGGAACCATAAGCCAGTCCTATTCCAGGCAGCCCCAAGTGCCTGGAAGAAAGGTCACAGGAGTACACACAGGAGTACGGTGGAGGAGCTGGTGCTCGGTCAGGCCTCTCGACAGCAGGAAGGGAGGGAACCATGTGGCTGGCTCTCTGGGGCCAGAGCATTCCATGAAGAAGAAACAGCAAGTGCAAAGGCCCTGAGGCAGGCAGGAGTGTTTGGGGATAGCTGCTAAGTCTGGGCCAGTTTGACCCAAGGGGAGTGAGTTAGGTACTTCTGTAATTCCTTTCCTCCCCCTGATTTCTCATGTTTTTAAAGTGAGTCTCTTGATTTTGTAATCCAAATGCACAATGGCAATTGATAAAAATAGAAGTCATGTCTGGAAGCCCTTGGCGGGTGCTGGCACCCAGGAGCAGTGATTGCTGTTATCGCTTTTCCCCCCTCTCATTTCTGGGGCAATGAATCACTTCTGCCTAACGTTCCCTAAAGAGGCGATGGCCCCATGCTGCCTGGCTTTCTGGGAGTTTCTGGGAGGTGAGTGTGCAGGACAGGCAGTGTCTGCAGAAAGGGGCGGGTGCCTTGCCTCCTCCCTCTCTCCCCTGCCTTCCCTCCCTTTCTTTTCCATCTGTGAACCCTTCTGTGAACAAGCCCCACGTTGGAGAGTCTTGCTTCAGGGCTGGTGAAAACCTGGGCACCCCAAAATTTGTGACACACAGAGGCCAGGAGCAGGGCTGGGCTCAGCGCCTTGGAAAGTAGGGATCACGGAGTGCTCGTGAAGGGGAGAGTCAGAAATAGAACCTTGGTCCACCCCAGAGGCTCCACACTCCTCAATCCCTGGAGGCTGCTGACTTCATCCCAGGGAGTCACAGTCACCTCCTACTTGGGGCCCCCAGCTCCTTCCCCAGAGGATGCCTTAGAAGCCAACCATGCAGTGTTCCTTCCCACCTCAGGTTCTCCTGTGGCTCCCACTTCCCCGGAGACCTTCCAGGTCCCAAAAAGTCCCGTGTGATCAGACCCCCAGCTCCAGCCCAGCCTCCTCGGCCTGGATGCCCTGTGAAGGACTATGCTGGACTGTCGGCCTCACTGGACCTGGCCCACCCCAGCCCCTGCCCGCCCACCTGTGGGAGAGGGGTCTGGTCTGCACCTGCAGCCCTTCAGTACCCCTGCCCCCCCACCAAGTGCTTGTCCTCGGAACAGCAGCCCAGGAGCGTGGCAGGGAACAGTGTATGCAGCAGGTGCTCAATTTGTGCTGGTAAATGACTGGGCATTAGTGTTTTAAAATCAGACTGTAGGTACTTTGTAGGCTATCAGAATTGGACAGAGGCACAGAAGTGCAGCCCCCTCAGTGTGTCTCTCCTGTCCCTCTGTCTCGTTCTCGTTGTCTCTTTCAGTGTTTTGGGCTTTTTTTGGTGGTGGTACTGGAGTTTGAACTCAGGGCTTCACGAGCCACTCTGCCAGCCCTCTTTCAGTGTGTTCTCTCTTCTCTGTTTTCGTCCCTTCTGGCATTTTCTTTCTCTCCTCCCTGCACCTCTCCGTCTCTCTCTCCTCTTCTGCCTCGGTGGGGACCAGGCCACCCTGCTTACTTACGTCTTTCTCTGCCTCTCCTGCCACCACCTGCCCTCTGAGGCCCATCCAGTTGTGGTGATGCTGAGCCCATGGCGGGTCCTATGAGGAGCCAGGATAGAGGCCACCATGCTGCTGTGGCAACATGTTCACCAGCTTGCAGTGATGCTCAGAAGGCACGGGAGGGGACCTCATGGAGTCCTCCACGGGCCAGCAGCTGACCACGTGCAGGCTGGTCAGGGCAGCTGTGTGTTCCCTGCCTGGCCACTGCTGTTGACCCTGGGTGCAATGCACAGTGGCCCTTCTGTCAGCTAGGCCTCCTTTCTCAAACTTGAGCTCCTTAGGCTGCCCCAGTCACAGGGGCCTTTGCAGGGGCTGCTCCCTCTGCTGGGCACACTTCCTTTACCTGTAGCCAAGTTAAACTTCTACTTACGTGCTTCAGACTTGGGACCAAATGCTGCCTCCTCCAGGAAGCCCTCCCTGAGGATCCCCCAAGGCAGGTCACCCTGCTGACCATTTCCTGTTGCTGGCCACAGTTGTAACTTCACTCTCATCCCCGCTCAGCCCCCGAGGGCTCTCTGCCCTGTGCTCAGGGCTTCCTAGCAGGGAAGTCAGGGCCTGGCCCATGAGTCAGCAGAGCTCTGCTTCCCCTCTGGGCACTTTCTCTGGGCGGTGGGGAGTGGGGACTGTCGTCTTCATGGTGGAGGCTCAGCGACTCCCAAATTCAGGGATGTCTCATGGTAGGAGAGGCAGGTGAGTCCTCTTCCCACCCCCATGCCACCCATCCACATCAGGCGATTCTCTCCTCCTCCTGGAGAGCCAGAGGGAGCTTCTCAGAGTCCCAGCTGCCCTCCTTCCTGCCCTCCTCCCTGTGGCCCTTAGAGTCCAGCCAGGCCACCTGAGCTCAGGCACCAGGCCTCTGTGCCTGGCCTTGCCTCATCCCCACACAACTCCCCTAAGCTCCCTGCCTCTGGATCTTTGCCGGTGCTGTTCCTTTGCTTGGAATGCTGTTCCCCCAGATGGAAACCATGGGGCTCTCCCCTCACCACCTTCCCAGCAAGGCCTACCCTGACTGCCTATTTAACCCCCCACACAAACACACATTTTTCTCCCTCCAGCCCTGAGGTCTGGGAATTGGCTCTGTGACTTATGACTCATCTTACTCGTCTTCCTCCTGAGGAAGTCAGGGCCTCAGTGTCTTGTTGACTGCTGTGTTAAGGAGTGAGTCGGGGCCTGGGTTCGAGTTCTGGTTCAATAATTTCCTTTTTAAGCTTCAGTTTTCTTGTCTAAAGACTGAGGAGAATCAGGGCTAGGAGACTGAATAAAATTGTGTGTGCCAAGTGCGTGTGCCAACGTGTGTCTAGACGTGGAAGAAAGCGTGAGTGAAAAATCACAGTAACCATTTTGGGGACATGGCTGGCTCCATCCTGTCTATCTACACCATGGATACTAAAAGAGCTCTTCATGGTTCTCCCAGGTGACTATTCTGTTTTAGGTATTCTTTGTTATACAAGTTTTTTCCCTCTAGAATTTGTTTTTAATTGAAACATTCAAAGAAAATTACAATGTATACAGTATGCTACCTTTTAAAGAGAGAACATATATCTGCAAGAAATCACCTAACAGAAAAGTAATCATCTCAGCCAGGTGTGGTGGTGCATTTCTGTAATCCCAGCTACTCTGGAGGCAGACAGAGGACGATCATGAATTCGAGGCCTGCCCAGGCAAAGTTATCGAGACATCATCTCAAAAACAAAATTTAAAAACACCCAAAGGGTTGGGGGAAGGTAGCTCTAACAAAAGCAGCTATTTTAATAATCCCTTAGGTAACATAAGAGTAACCATTTTAAGTGAACAATTCCAGGTTCAGTCCATTCATAACTCACCAACTCTCCTAGTTCCCAACATTTCACCTCCCCAGAGGACCCTGACCCAACCACTGCTGTAAGTGAGAGGAAAAACCAAACCAAAACCAAAACCACCAGAAAAACCCAAACCAAAACCACAACAAACAATCGCTCTTCATTCCTGCCTCTTCCCCAGACCCTGGCACCCCAATCTGTGTCTGTGCTGTAGGTTTATCTCGACATGTCACATGGCCAGGAGAATACAGTATGTGATCTTTTTTTTGTGTGCGTGTGGAAGGTACTTGGCTTTTGTTTTTGGTGGTACTGGGGTTTGAACTCATGGTTTCACATTTGCAAAGCAGACTCTCTACCACCTGAGCCACTCTGCCAGCCCAAATTTAATTATTATTTTTTTTTTTGCAGTACTAGGGTTTGAACTCAGGGCCTCACACTTGTTAGGCAGACGCTCTACCACCTGAGCCACTCGGCCAGCCCTTTTTCCTCTGGTTATTTTTGGGATAGGTTTCTTGCTTTCTGCCCAGGCTGGCCTGGACTGCAATCAGATTTGTGCTCCCCCTGTAATTGGGGTGACAGGGCTGGACTGTGCTAGTCGTTGGTTGTGATGGGGTCTTGTGAACCTTTTGCTAGGGCTGGCCTCAAATCATGATCCTCCTAGTATGTACCTCCAGAGCAGGTAGGATTACAGGTATGAGTCACAGTGCCTGCAGCATGGTGACCTTTTGTGTCCTTCAGTTAGCATTGTAGGATTTATCAGTGCTTTCATTCCTTTTTAATGGTCAAATAACGTTCTACAGAGCTCATAAACCACATCCCGCTCTGCCTTCACCCATGGACGCAGTTGTTTCCCTTGGGGGTGCCGGGAGTGGGGCTGCTGGGAAGGCCTGGGAGCTGGCATGTGCTCTGTGGAGCGTTCTTGCACGAGAAACACAGGGTGCAGAAAGAGGGGGGGCATTGTGAACGAAGTGACCAAAGGAGAAGCCCTCGTCCAGGCCGACACAGCCTGAGTGGGCTTTTCCCGCTTGCGGAAAGTACCTGCGGGGTCCTCAGCCATCCACACAGGGAAAGGAGGGAATCTGCACACATAGCAATTGCATTTAGGCTCGTGTGACAAGTGACAAAGTGACAAACTGAGTGCATGGGGGCCTGGGCACGCGGAGAAACTGAAGCTTGGAAGAGAGGAGGGAACTAGGAGTGAGTGGTCTCCAAAGAATGACCCCCTCCACTCCCCCATAGACCCCCGCAGGCCTAAATGTCAAGTCCTGATGTTGCCGAACGGCCTTGGTGTAGCTGGGCAGGAGGAGGGGGTCCTTCCTCGTCCAGTGCCAGGGTCCCACTGTCCCTATCATGTGGTGATCCTCCCTGCCAGCCACGAGGGTCCTCTTTTCTCAGTGCGATGCCAGCTAAGAGCAGGGAGGGAGGGGCCGGGAGGCTGAAGGAGGCAGAAGGAGGGAGACTGGGGACAGACGATGGCTGGACGGTGCGGTGCCTCCTGCCTGCTGAGCCGGCTGTCCCTCTGCTGTCTTTAGGAAATATTCCAAGCACTGGGACATGGCAGGAGAGGGGACAAGGGGGCCCCCAATCTCCGTTTGCTGGCTTGCCAATGGCACACCTTGCAGCTTTTGTCAGAACGCTGTGTCTGTGGAGGTGAAAAGGCTCTTTTCACAGGAGTGAGCAGGGCTGATGTGTGTGACCCGGGAGGCTCAGAGAGACCACCAGGCACGAGGCGAGGCTGGGGAAGGACAGCCTCAGGGAGGGGACTCAGCAAGGGCAGTGACCCCCATTTCCCTCCACTGGCCATCTGCAGCCCTGTCCACCAGTCTGCAGGAGCTTGGTGGCTGGTTCTGCATGGGTCAGTCACGTGGGCACAGAGTGGTGAGGAAGGTGGGGGCCTGAAGCACAGGAGGTCACCACGTGCCCTGACAAGAAGGTGACATGGCTCTCAGGCTGTCAAGCTTTGGTTTCTAAGCTGCCGTGGACGAAGTGCTCACTACCTATTAATCTCTCCGCACACCTGAGGGCTGACTCCTTGCCTGGCCTCCTCAGGAAAGCAAAGTTCTTGAGACAGAACCAGGCTGGACTTGAACTTGGGACAACGTCCTCAGCCATGATGCCCTTGCCATGGCTCTCTGCTCCCTGGAAGCTCCCTGATGCCTGGCTCAAGCTGAGGCCTGGGCCTGGTACCCCCCACACCCGCGGAAGCCTGACGTGAGCTCGGCCACCTCCTCTACCCACGTGAACCTGGGGCATCATTTGACTCTCCAGCCCTCAGCCTCTCCATCTGGAAAGTGGGCACAGCACGAACCCCTCCACACGGTGAGGCCACGGGCGAAAAGCCACGTACAGGAGTCTGCTGCTGTAGCCCTGCTGGGTTCCGACCCCCCCTGTGCCTCCTGGGGCCGGATCCCCAGCTGGAGGAAGGATGGGGCCCGGGGGGCCTGGACGGGACAATACAAAGCATTGAGTTCGTGCCAGGCCTGGTTTGGGTTGGCCAAACACAGTGATCCGGGCAGGCCTGGCAGACCTGGGGCCCCGGGAGTGAGGGGCGTCGGGTTACCCTGGCAGGCCAGCCTCACAGGCGGCTCCTGGGGGCATTTTCCTTTCCCCAGGGATTATAACTAAAAGCGCCATCAGCACTCCTGACTGGGGCCTTGACAGATGGCTTCATTACAGGAAGAGCTGCAGGGCTGGTACCAGGAAGCGTCCAGGACCGGGTCCACCCCACAGCCCTGAGGCAGCTGTGCTGTCCCCATTTCACAGATGGGCAAACGGAGGCAATCTTGCAGCTGCCAGATTGCTCCCTGTGTTCCCTTGGCATGCTGGGGGAGGTGGCGGGCCTGCAATCCTGTGACCGCCTCCCTGTGTCCCCTCATGGACCTGTGAGAATCCTTCCATGCCCAGCCCCTTCCTCAGAGAGAGCTGAGGTGGAAGTGGGCACACTTCCTGCCAGGTGAGATGGCAAGAGGGCGGTGTGGGCAGAAGGAACAGGTAGAACAAAGGCCTGGAGGCCAGGTGATGCTGTCAGTGGGCAGGGTTACACTTTGGGGTTGGAATTTCAGCCTGCTATCTTTGCTGTGTGACCTCAGGTAGCTGATTGGACATCTCTGATCTCCGACTCTCACCTGTAGAATGGGTGCAAGAGAAGAAAACCTTCTGCAGGGGGTTGTTGGGAAGAGATGGTGCCTGGCAAGTAATAATAATCCTCAGGAGAGGCTGTTTTTATTCATAGCCATTTCTTCCAGGAAGCCTGCCCTGACCTCTTCTGGCTCTCAGGGTCACCTGTGCTCTCCCCATGCATAACGTGGGAACTTGTCTTATGCACGCCGGGCTCATGTCCCCACCTGAGGCCTGGGGCTCCCATGAGGCCTGCATCCCAGAGCACAGAACTTTGCACACAAGTCTTTGTGTAGCGTCTTCCTCCTCCTGGAGTCTCGGCTGCACCCACACCTGCCCGTGGGCAGCTGCAGAAGCAGCCGGAGCACGAGCGCAGAGGGAAGAAGAGAGGCGGCCATGATAGTTTGTACTTCCTGGGTTCCAGGCTACACGCCAGTCTTCTATTCAGCCTTCCTGGCAAGTCAGCACTCCGTGGTTTCCGTTTCACAGATGGGGAGACTGAGGCACAGAGAAGTGAGGTGGCTTACCCAAGTCACAAAGCAGTGAGGGGCAGGGCCTCTTGGAGGAGCCACTTGCCCCTCCCTGGACGAACATGCTGTGCCCACTTCACAGATGGAAACTGAGGCTCCGACACACATATGCCTGTCCATGTCTGCACAGAGACATGGCTGGGGGAGGTGCCCAAGGTGGCCCCCGGTGTCCCAGGTGGGGGTCCCTGCGGGAGAGGTGGAGACCCCAGCTGCCCCTGCCTGTGGGTGTCTCTGGCTACTACCCCAGCCTCTGTTTACCCAGCCTGACACCCAGGGCGCTGTTCTTCCTCCCGCCGGAGTCTCAGCTCAGGCACCTCCACAATGGCGTCCTCTGTCTGCAGCTGGTTTTCATTCAAGCCCTTTGTGCCGAAAATAAAAGAAAAAAAAAAAAGAGAAAGAAACTTGGCTCCACTCCACCGCTTCACTTCCTGGTGTCTTTCCCTTGTTCTGAGGCCCAGAGACACCCACAGCCTGTCCAACGGTCACACAGCCTGTCGGAGCTGGATCCCAGGCTTGGGCTCCCCGTCCAGGGCTCTGCCTCTCTCTGTCCCACATCTGCTGCTCTCGACCTGGCCTTGAGGTCTGAGGAGAGTAAAGGATGTGGGACAGACCCTTCCTCAAGCTTTCTACCTGCGCTCCATGCTTCCCCAAATTCCTGGAGTCCTCTAGGAACCCTGAAGGGTCCTGCCATCCGCTTAACCAGCGAGGAAAACGGTCAGGGAGGTGAAGGCCAGGTCACACGGTTGAGAAGTGGCAGAGCTGGGAGCCAAGTGCCTGTGCCCACAGCTGGGCGGCCACTGCAGGTGGCACCTTGTTAGGCCCTGGGGTGGCCCCGGCTGCGCTGGTGGGGGATCCCAGAGGGAAGTGGGAGCCGGGGCGGGGACAGGCCCTGGACCTGTGCCAAGCAGAAACAATGGGGCCTCAGAGATGGTGGTGGCCGGGTGGGGCACCAGCCAGCCAGGGGCCACAGGGCGAGGCAGTGGGACGACCAGGAGGCTTCCTGCTGTCAGCCTCCTGCAGCTTGGGACCAGGGTGCTCCAGGGCTCTCCGTTCCCAACCTGAATGGACACAGGGCCCCGGCAGGCTGCACGATAACCACGATGGGCAATTGTCACCAATCATGCCTACTAGACACCGATGACAGACTAGGCCTTGTCCCCACAAGCAGCCCAGGTGGTAAGAGCTCTTTGCTGGATGCAGGGGCGAGGTCACACAGGGGCAGAGAATGCAGGAAAGAGGGGGCCGCAGAGCCGAGCTCCCTGTCCTGGTGCTGAGCAAAGGTGAGGCTCTAGTCTCGGTGCCCCTGGGGTGGACTAGACAGATCTGAGGCGATCCTTCAGAGACTGTGCCTCACTGACTGTAAGGGTCCAGAGTGGGGATGTGGGAGCAGGTGGGCCCACCCCAGGTGGCTTGGGGGGTGAAGTGTGCCCTGCACAGAGTGGGCGCTTAGCGAATAGAGGGCCCCTGGGAGCACTTGCTGTCTGAAGAAACAGCAGCTCGTGTTTGTGGAGCCTGCTGCACACGCAGGCCCTGTTCCCGGAGGCTTGGACTCCTTTTCAACCTTTTCATCCCTTCCTTTCTTCATTATCCTCATCTCAGGCTTTAATCCTATTGTCCTCTTGTTCCAATTAGGCAGCTTGGAACAGGAAAGGCATTTAATTAACTCTTTCAGCAAGCAGTTTGTTAGGGGCAGCTCTGGATGGGTGGCTTGGCCTCTCTTCACTTCTCTCATCTTCATGGGCCCCGATGGCTGCTGTGATGCCAGACATCACATCCTGCCTGGTCACCACCTAGCCAGGAAGGGAAGGAGTGGGCAGAAAAGGGGACTTTCTCCTCTAAGATCTCACTCTCTTATTAAGCAGTACAATATTTCTTAGATGTCCAGCGGGCTTCCTCTGTTATCCCATATGACAATGAAATCACATGTCTACTTTCAAATCAGAAAGGAATTCCTGAAGCTGACTTTGACCAATCAGGATTCAGCTCTCCAGCTGCCCAGAAGAGATGTGGGCTTGGAAAGGGTGGGCACAAGTCTGCCACCAGCTGCAGTCCCTGTGACATCTGACTGCTAGGTTGCCTGAGTGGACCAGCCCTGCCGCCCCATCTCTAGTGAGTCTTTTCGTCAGGGTTTGGCCCTGGTCTGCTTCCAGGTGCCAGCTCTTGTCCTCCTCCTGCACCCTGGCCCATCCTCCTCGAGCCTCTAAAATGGCCCTGTCCTGCCTCCATCTGGCCTGTGTCCCAGTGAGCTCTGCCATGTGGAGTTTCCTGTGCCTTTGTAAGGGCTCCCTAGTATCTGTCGGTCTGTCTGTTGGGTGCTGCTGGTGGACTCTCAGCCCAGACCAGAGATGCAGGTGTCTCCTCTGGCTGAGAAAATGGCACTGCACCCAGCCAGTAGCTCAGGTCTTCCCCGCTGGAGCTGCCCTCAGCTGCCCTCTCTGTCCAGTCCACCCTCAATTCCCTCTGGCTCTGCCTTCCGTGGTGCCTGGAGCTGACACAGCTCCTGCTGCGTTGCCATCACCAGTCTGCCCCATCATGGCTTCCCTCACTAGGCAGAACCCTTCTCCTGGCCTCCCTGCCTCCTCTCTGCACTCAAGCTGATAGAACCTGCGCGGGTTCATACACTGCCTGGCTTAAAGCCCTGCTGTGGCGGCTACCTGCCCCGAGGAAAAGGCTCATGGCTGAGCCTCCAGCCCTACAGGACCACCTGGGCCCTGCCTGCCCTCCTCTCTCCCTGACCTTGTCGGCCTCTTTCCTCCTTAACATACCAAGAAGTTCCCACCTCTTGGCCTCTGCCTCTGGCGTGGCCTCTGCCTGGAACTCTTTCTGGATCTTCTATGCTCTGCCCTGTCTCTGACATAGGTGGGCTCCCATATCTCCCAGGCCACCTGTCTGAAGCAGCCCCTTCCTCCTCTGTCCCCAGCCTTGACTTGTTTCCCTGCTGGACACTTGTCATCTTGTATGCAGTTGGCCCACGGGCTCTACGTCCTCAGGTTCGACCAACTGCAGATGGAGAGCATTGTGGACACGCACAGATTTTGTGACATTCTTCCCTGAACACCAGTGTCACGTCGTCCTGGAATTGCAAGCCAGTCAGACAGGGTTTAGAGCACCCTGTGGGTTCCACGCACCCATCCAGGGCCAGACCGTGAGTGCCCAGAAGGGGGTCAGCAGAGGCTCAAGTGCCCGTCCCTGGTTGACACAGAGGACGCCTGTGGATTTGCTTGTCCAGCCCTGCGGTGCCTCAGGTCCGGTCCAGCCAGCGGCACTGGGTCTCATCAGCCTGGACCTGGCACACAGTAGGTATGGAGAACCCTGGTGGCCGTCTCTGTCAGTCTGAGGGGATGGGAGGGGAACAGGGTGCTGCCTGGACAGTCGTGGGTGTCCCTGGCAGAAGGGTGGGAGCTCTGGCCTGCACCTGCCCAGAGCCGAGGGCAGTGGGGCCCGGCCTTCTTGGGGGTGCTGTGAGGAAGCTTCAGTCCATTTCCCTTGGGACAGACTCACCCAGTGGCTTTTGGGTTCTGGGTTGTTTTTCCAGTGTGTGGCGCCACCGTGGCTGGACCCAAGCTGTCCTGTAAGGTGGACGTGGATCATAGCCAAGTTCCTTTGGGATTCCACAGAAGGACACAGTCCTCCCAGCCAGGCGGCTGTCAACTCAGCCCTCAGCCTCGCAGGCAGCGTGGGGAGAGCACAGCTGTTTCGAGAGCTGCGTCACCCCATAGGGGTGGGGACCGTTTGTCCCCATCTCCGTCTTCTCTCCTTCTCCCTGCGTGTTTGCATTAGGCTCGGCGTGTGCAGCTGGAAGGGTCCACGCGCCCAGGGTGTAGCTCCCTGAAGAGAAGAAAGCTGCGTGGGGACGGGCCCAGCCTCCACTTCTCCAGGGTCACCCAGGGCCTGACCTTAGGGTGCCAGGCTCAAGGGAACCCTCTTAAATCCCCTCCTCCCCCATCAAGTTCCTCTCTTGGGTCTCCATCCAGGCAGGCCAGTTCCTGTGAGGTGAAGGAAGTAGCACTTTGGGGACCCAGAGGGGGTGTCGAAGGTGACCACCCTGGGACAGGGCATCTGGGTAGAGCAGGAGTAGGGCAGAGCAGGATGTGGGAGAAGACAGGGATGGCACATGGGGGTCACCTGTCACTCATTCACTCAGCAAACATTGTGAAGCTAGTTGGTGGCTGCAGAAGCAGGAATCCTGCCAGCAAGAAGCTACAGCAGGTGTGGGTGTGGGGGTGTGGGGGTGATGAATAGGACTGTCACCACCCTCAGAGGTCTGTGACTGTGACAAGGACATAGCGATGTGAGGGTCTGCAATGGGGAGGCAGCTGGGAGGGCTTCCTGGAAGAAAAGGAGCTGAGAAATGAAGGGTGGGCAAGGCCAGGTAGATGCGAAAGGGAGGAGTGAATGTTCAGCAAGCCTCAGCGTGTGCAAAGGCCCTGTGGTGAAAGGAACAAGGCAGAGGAGAAGGGTCTAGAAGGCTATGTGGCTGGAATTTTGAGATGAGGGCAAGGTGAAGACTGGGCTGGACGGACTGAGGGCGAAGAAGTGTCTCCTGGAGCGTGTGCAGGACCTGCACACAGTGGGTCCTCAGCAAATGGCTTCCTGGCAGTTGTTGCTTGAATGAACTCCCAGTGTTTTATGCTAAGGCAGGGGAGCCTCGGGGGGGCTTGAGAGTGGCGGGGTCACAGATCACCTCTGCCCACCTCTGCCTCGTGAGGGGACTAAAAAGAGCAACTGTCACCTCAGCTCTTCGAGGGCCAACTCTCCAACTTCTCCTCATGCCTGACTTCATCTCTTCCATGAATTTCCTCCTTCGCCTGCCCCCAGACCAATCCCCACAGGTGCTGGTGTCGAGCCACTGTCAGATGAGGAAACTGAGTCTCCAAGACCTTTCCAGGGCCCCACCCTTTTCCCCCAACCCAGAGAAAAGAGGAACGGGAGCTGTGCCCTGTGGGGCAGCTGGGAAGAGTCTGGGCTGGGAATAGGCAGGGTGGGGGCCCCGGGGGCCATGTCGGGATGGGCAGGGCCCTGCTTCCGTTAGCCACAGCCCTGGGACCTACCCCAAAAGGGAAGCAGAGGCCTCCTGTCCTCACACCCTGTACCCCAGGGAAGGGGCTGGACATTCCCAGAGCGGGGGCCAGGGGCCTGGCAAGGCCTCACCCTCCTGCCCCAGGCTGCAAGACTGGGTTCTTGGACAACTCTGAGGTCAGCTGAAGCCGCTGGTGACCGCAGCTCCCTCTCCTCCGTGGGGGGCCGGTTCCTCTCTGCAGCGCTCAGGGACAGCTCGCGGGCAGGTGCTTCCTGAAAGGAGCAGCTCATCCGACCCCACGCCCCTGCTGTGCAAGGCGTATTTATTGAGCTCGCACCTGTGTCCCAAGCAGCTCCCGAGGCTAGCGAGGCAGTGACCATCGAGCCAGGGGGAAACGCCGGTGGAGATATTGATATGCTTCCCACTGAACTCAGAATTGTCCCAGCCCTGGGTACAGATCGGGGCTGGTCCACAAGCAGAACAGCCTGTTGTCCCCAGAGAGGGGACCTATTGAATTCCAACTCTGTGCCAGGTATGGAGCCACAGTAATGCAAATACTATCCCTTTTTATTTTTTGAGACAGGGTCTCACTATGTAGTCCAGTCTGGCCTGGAACACACAATCCTTCTGCCTCAGCCTCCCAAGTGCTGGGATTACAGGCGTGCACCGCCACACGTGGCTTATACCACACCACTTGATATGGGAGAGTTGAGCATCCTTGGATTGTGGCATCTGAGATGGTCCTGGATGCTTCCGTCCTAAGAAGACTCGTCAGAGGGATGTGGTGGCAGGTGACTGGGGAGGAGTCTGGTGGCATGCACTGAGACTGTGGTTTAGCCACCAAGGGAAAACAACGGAGAAGGCTGTGATGGGTAGAGGGCACAACAGGACAGAGCAGAGGGGAATGGGTGGACATATTTAAGGGGTAGGAAGAAGCTGGCGCTCCTGGGAGGCTGAGGGGTGGGACAGGTGACAATGGAGATGGAGCAGGGGTCAGACTGGGTAGCTGTGTTTGCTCCTCAGTGGTGTGGGCTGCCTTTGGGGACCACATCTCTGATTTCC